GATCATAACCGATTATGCACCGAGAGGTGACGATCACTTAACCATTATAAGATGTGTTTTACACGTTAAAAACGGAAACATATTTTGTATAAGAACGAATAATTCTGTTAATACAATTGTTATATACAAATTCGGATACTGGTCTTTATACAACAAATCTTCCCTACTATACAATTGGAACATAAAGTCTATAACACCTAATAATGTATAAGTAATTCATTATAACCTTTATTTCATAGATGCATAAGGTGTCAAAGGTCAAATAAAATAATAATAATAAATAATAATAATAATAATAAATAAGGTCAAATGAGATTATTCCTTAATGTGTCAATTACTGGGTCAGTTACCTTACAATTTAACTGTTTCATGTAATAGGTACGTAAGAAATTAAAATTATAGTCTTAAATGCAAATACTGTTGGTAGCTAAATGTCTTCAGCTCAGTCAATGGTGAAGTCCTCTTTCAATTTAATATTTTGTTAATGTACTTGTGCCGCTTTATGTCAGCAAAAAAATGCAACTTCATTTTTATCGAAAATGGTACCTGCTACCGAATTTCGGCAAGTATACCTTTTTTTTGGAATATGCTTTAGAGTTTACAGAACCGTTTAGAAATGTAATAAATTTTGACTTTTAACATATTTTTTTATCGTTTGTACCCCTCCAATTACCTGTATCGGCGACACTGATTTTCAGAAAGAAACCATTTGCACATTATTCTTAACATCTTAACTCACAGTTGATGTTTACTCGTGTATAAATTTTGACATTTTTATCTTTAGCAGATTTAAAGATAATAATTAAGGAAAACCATTTGGAAAGTAACAACTTCAACACACTGTATCTCGAAAACAGGACGTCTAAGAAAAAAACGCTACATGAACTACCCCTATTATTTTCTCACGAGGAAACATGAACGGGACACCCTGTATGTTGGAAGTTCCCCAAAAATAGTTTAAAAATTATCTCTTTCCATTTAAAAAATAAGCCACCTTGAATATATAAACTTTTACAAAAGAAATGACTAATTATAAATAAAATTATGAGTGTCGTAATCCTTTTTAACTTTTCAGATAAACTTTGAATGAGAACAATATATTTTTACTATATTTGTAATAATCTGTTGCTGTCATTAAATTATTTTTATTTTCAATGTTTTCAAAACTTCTATCAACAAGTCTTTGATTAATTGTCTAATAGCATATCTTTTACGTATCTATTTTGTTTCCAAAAATGTAATCTTTCGAATAAAATATTACTTTATTACAGGAATTTGATTACATCTCTCCTTATGAGAGGATTTCATTACTCTTTAAATTTTAATAGTTGTCTGTGGAATATTCTAAATGGCGAAGTAAATAATAACATTATACATATAATATTTTTATGAAAACTAGATACACAAGACAGCAAAATATCACATGTATGTGTCAATTTGAGTTTTGAAAACAAAAACAAATAATTTTTGAAACGTTTATAGTGTTTGTGTTGTAGTGTTAATGTGCAGTCAAGATGAAGTAGCTACTTTCTCAGTATGAGATGTTTCTGATTATGCAAAATTAAGTTCGACCCCTTTACTGATCCTTTAGTTATTTATTTGAATAGTTAAAGTTAAAGCCTCCCAATTAGTATTTGGAACTAAAATTTGCTGTCCATATTAATTTTCCGCGTATAAAATTTTTTTGGCCAAATATACAGAAAAAACAAGTTACCTTTGAAAACAAACTGTCCATTGTCATATCTATAGCCCAAGTTATCCTTGATGATCAGCACCCAGAAATATATCACATCCCCTAGCTCCAATTTGGCGTTCTTGTTTTCGTACACCCATCTGTCATTGTTCCTACTCACTACATCTCTAGAAAACTGACCAGCCGTCAAGCCAACCATGGGTCGATTGACGTTTCCATGGAACGAGAACAGTTGTATTCCATCTTCGTGAGGTATGCTCACCGAAAAACCACCAGATGAGTACACCTCGAACTTTGGTTCCGGAACTACGTACTCCTGGGGCACATACAAGGCCAACAACAAGTCGGACTGGATCACAGCGAAGAAAAAATATGCGATGGGCTTCATTCTGAACGACCACTTTCACTCCACTGCAGCAACAGGATTGGATGGATATAATATATGCGAGTGCACTACTAGATAATTCTTTTTATATCTGCAAATAAAAGTTAGGGTTTTCCGAGGTTCAATTGCTTTTAGTTTGGTTGGTGGGTACATTGAAATTTTTAGTCCCGAGCAGCACAGTTCGTTGACGTCAACGCTTTATCGGTTCGAGAATGGGGATATTTAGCAACAAATATATTGATTAAACGTGACTCTTGTTTACTACGGGAGACTGTTAAATAACTGACATTGTGCTAATTAGGTTTATGTAGTGAAACAATTATATATTTTTAAGGAACATTATAATTTAAAATTCTAATATTTAGGACACTGTTGAGTGGAACTGATATTTAACAATATAAAATATGAAATAGCTAATATAAATATTTTTGTCTACGGTAGTTTTTAGGTTAGTTATAGAAAAAAGTGCTATGAAGGTAATTGTAGTGATAAATATACAGGGTTAATCATTAATACGTCAATAATTCTTGGGCCAAAATATACAGATTTAACTCTAAACACTTGGAAAACATATAGTTTCTTACTTCTTTATCATACTTAGAGAAAGTTTTGGTACCTCAGGAAACATTAAACTGTCCCTCCCTCTAAATTCTACGCCACTCATGGAGCCATTAGTGTGAGTAAGTAAAATAACTCCCTTGTTATTCATAATATAGAAAAAAAGTTTATATAAAAGTTGTACAGAATCAAAAAACCGAAAGGACAAAATTTGAAACATACAGGGCGATGAGTAAAAACGGGATACGCCAAATATTACATTTTTTAAATGGAACACCCTGTATATTTTTTAACAAATGGATTTCTGAGAAAATTCTATATGTGGCAATATAAACAGTTTAATATTTTAGTGCGGGGTTGCCAAGTTATGTAGAAAATTCTTCGAAATTTGGAAAAACATGACCTCGAAGGAGTTGTATTAACTTTCAACTACTAACATTTGAAGCAAAAATATTAGACAAAGTTATAGGCAAATGTTAGACAAAGGCTCCCATAGAAGCTAATATCGATATTTTATACAGGACATTTTTTATAATACGATCATTTTAAGAAAGTTTAAACATGATTTTCTAAAATTTTTCAAATGGAACACCCAGTACTTGATTGTTCTATTTTATTCATATATCAGTCCACTTCAATTTTTATTAACTATGTTCCACACCTAAAGTTGTTAGTTTTAAGATATAGCAACCTTTCTGGAAAAACCCAATTTTTATTATTTTCGGTCGCACGAAATGGCTTTGGAAAAAACTATCACATTGTGTTAACTTGTCAGTTCATAATTTATCATTCCATTTTGAGTTAATTTTATTAGTTAATATTTATTTGTGATATTCTATAAAATAATAAAAATTAAGTTTTTTCAGAAATGTTGCTATATAAAAACTAACAATTTTAGATATAGAACATGCTTAATAAAAGTTGAAGTGGGTTGATTATTTGAAAAATTTTAGAAAATCAAGTTTAAACTTTCTAAAAATGATCGTATTATAAAAAATGCCCTGTATAAAATATAGATATTAGCTAATATAGGAGTCTTTGCCTAACATTTGCCTATAATTCTGTCAAATATTTTTGCTCCAAGTGGTTGAAAGTATACAACTTCTTCGAGATCATGTTTTTTCCAAAATTCGAAGAATTTTCTACATAACTTGGCAACCCCGCACTAAAATGATAAACTGTTACCATATATAGAATTTTCTCGGAAATCCATATGTTTAAAAATATACAGGGTGTCCCATTTAAATAATTTAGTATTTGGCGTGTCTCGTTTTTACTCATCGCCCTGTATGTCTCAAATTAATTTTGTAGTTTAGGTTTCTTGATTCTGTATAACTTTTATATAAACTTTTTTCTGTATTATGAATAACAAGGGAGTTATTTTACTTTCTTACACTAATGGCTCACCCTGTTGTATATTTTAATTTTTGAACATGTTTTATGTAAATAATGTTATCTTGTTCTATTACGACTAATTTTCGGGATAAACGAAGTAAAATTTCAAATACGCGGGCAATATGCAATAACGTTTAAAATTCAAAAAGCTTAGTTCTTGGTACCTACTGGTTTGTGTGCTTATTCTCTTTTCCTAAATTATCGTACTACATATCAAAAATATATTTAAATCATTTACAAAAAGCTAACTATATAGGGTGTTTTTTAATGATATGCGATTATGTAAGGGTGTGATTCTACATGGAAAATTAATAATAATTTGCTTTATAGAACAAAAATGTTCCCTTGCGAAAATATGAGGAGTTAGAATTTTAGGAAAAAGAAGGAAATTAATTAATATTTTAGAAACTGCTTGAGATATTTCAGTGATATTTAGTATATAGTGATAGTTAATAAAGGCGCATGTTTTTCGATTTTAATTTAATTTTAATTATTCTGGAGTATTTTTTATTCTATAACATGCTGCAATTATTATTTCTCTTAATTACTTTGCAGTATTTGAGAAAACATCATTAGCGTACCATTTTTTCTTTAAAAATATTAAAGTCAGTGCTTGTACGCACGCCACTGTTAGAGTTAAAAATTATGTTTGTATTGAAAAACGTACGTCTTTATTAACTATCACTACGCACTAAATATTACTGAAATATCTCAAGCGGTTTCGAAAATATTAATTAATTTCCTTTTTTTTTCCTAAAATTTTAACTCCTCGTATTTTCGCAATGGAACATTTTTGATTTATAAAGCAAATTATAATTTTTTCCATTTAGAATCACACCCTTACATATTCGCATCATTAAGGAACACCCTGTATAGTTAACTTTTTGTAAATTAATTTCATTTTTTCAAAAATTTGAAGGTCGAGTATTTTCGCCACGAGACATTTTTGGACCATAGATCAAACTATCATTAATTTTCTATTAGAAAATCCCTTAAATATTGGCATATCATTAAGGAGTACCCTGTATATCTTATTTCACTTAACCAATGCAATTTTCACGATAGCTTCAATAGATTAAACGTTAAAATAAGAATATTATACAACCCTGTCTTTAACTTCAATTACCTCGAAATAATTACTCAAAAATTATGAAGTAAGGCAGTTTCGTAAAAAATATTTAAACATTAAACAATGATACCAAAATGACTATTCCATCAGTGGCGTTGAATTTATAGGGCAGGCAAACTACTTCTTTGTCGCTGCTGTGGGACTCTTGAAATGGCGAGAAACGATATTTTATGATAGTTTAATATTTCCTAAGGTGCCGAAACTTTCTGCCTAATAAATAATATCAAAATAATGGGCAAGAAATTTGAAATAAAATACCCTGTCTCTCAGTAAGGAAGCACATTTTATATAAACGTCCAAATCTAAGAAATCTACATATCATTTCCGGAGGATCCGGTGCGCTGAACACGAGTCTGTCTGTAGTCAAAATTTTGTGTAAAAAAGCGTAAATATGAGTCAAACGTCAAACCTTATGTTTTCCTAAAGCTTGTCCAAATATATAATTTTCGTAGTATTTTGAGGCGCTGAACACGATGCCATTAACAACATTTACTCATGAACTCGATATTTCTCAGAAAAAAAATGGGTGAAAATTTCACTTTTCTCCGTAATTCATCGGCAAGTCATGAATTTTTACTACAGGATCGTGTTCAGCGCATCGAATTCCTTTGGAAGTGATATGTGGATTTCTTGGGTCGGGACTTTTTCTTTATGTTCATGTGTTATTAATAGAATACGACAAATAATAAAATCTGCTGTAATTTGCGAGTCTAATTATTTTTCTTTTTTTGCAAAAAATCGTCATCAGTAAGGTTAGAAGGCCTCTTTAACGTCCATAAGTATGTAGGATCTTCTGACTTGAAACTAAAGTAAAAACTATCGAATATTGGCCATAATATGTTTGAACATTATTTGAATCAGTAATCGGAAAAACCATTCGAATTCATGATCTCATTGTACCAAAACTTTATAAACCTGTAACCCCATAACCCAGTAGCTCCCTAACCCCATAATCCCATATCCCCACAACACGGGATATGGGAGAGTGTAGGACCATGAAACTGTGGGAACATGGATCTCATACATTATAGATCTGAAACTACATGATTGTAGTTTTGTAAAGTTCACTAACCTCATAACCTCTTAACCTCGTGTCCCGAGGCGCACGTGAATGTGTAACCACAAAGCTCTGTGTGAACGTGGATTTGGTGCATCAGGGTTCCAAAATAATATGAGTATGAGTTTGCAGGCTTCCATAACCCCATAACTCTGGGTGTACGGGAATGTATCGGTCGTCACGCAAGATTTGAATTTTGCGTTTGTTGAGCAATATTTAAAAAATAATAAAGGTTTTGTAGCTACAGTTCACAATGTTTGTACAGAATATGGTCGGAATAATTATTTAACTTCATCAACTGTGAAGTGATTAAATGAAAGATTCAGTTAGGCTGGGCCAATTAGTGATCTTAAACACTTTGGTTGTCTTTCAACAAGTCAATCAACACAAAATATCGAAGCAGTTCGTGAGAGTGTTGCTGACAGTGGTCAAGAATTTTATATTTCGAGAAGCTCTTTACAGCGTATTCTCACGTAAGACTTACATCTTCATGCTGACAAAGTTCGCAGAGCGAAGAGAGTCTGTTGAGTGGATTATGGAACAAGTGTATGCTGATTTTTCGAACAAAATCATCTTTAGCGATGAGGCTCACTTCCATCTTGGCTTCGTTAATCGACAAAGTTACCGCATTTGAGGTTCAGAAAATCCACTAGTGATTGTTGAAAAACAAATGCATCCATAACGTGTTACTGCTTGGTACGGATTTTGGGCTGGAGGTATCATTGGACCATCTTCGAAAATGCGGCTGGTCAGGCAATAACAGTTACCTGCTATCGCGATATGATAATCCAGTTTTTTGTCACTAAATAGGAAGATATGAAGATATAGACGACATGTGGTTTCAACAAGACGGTGCCATATGCCATACAGCCCAAGAAACTGAATTACTGCATGAGTCATTTCCTGGTAGTGTAACTTCCCATGGACTTCTTTCTTTGGGGTCTAATGTTTATTTCAACAAGCCCA